TCTTTCCTTCCTTCCTTCCTTCCTTCCTTCCTTCCTTCCTTCCTTCCTTTCTTCCTTCCTTTCTTTCTTTCTTTCTTTCTTTCTTTCTTTCTTTCTTACTTTCTTTCATAAAAATGAATATTAACTACCTTCTGTCTTTTCACTCAGAGGTACCTCATCAAATCCAATATTGATTTTCATTCTCTATTGCCAACATTATTTTTTTGATAATTTTTTTGTCACATTCATTATGTGTTCATGACATTTTTGATAAAATATTGAAGTGCACCCTGGCCAGTGTGGCTCAGTGGTTGAGTGTCAACCCATGCACCAGGAGGTCACCAGTTCGATTCCTGGTCAGGGCACGTGCCTGGGTCAGAGGGCTTTCTAAAATAAGAGGGGTCACTGAGAGACATGTCATCTCTGAGTCGTGTACTGGCCCTGAGTATAGTCAGTACAACAAGAAGCCAATTTTAGAGGCTCCCCCCCTTTGCTCCTCATGAGATCTCCTGCTCCTTTTCCTTGTTGGACTTCCAAAGGTAGAAAATTTTAAAAATTTTTTAAAATTCTGCCAGCCGGCATGGTTCAGTGGTTGAACGTTCATCTATGAACCAGGAGGTCATGGTTCAATTCCCAGACAGGCCACATGCCCTGGTTGTGGGCTGGATCCCCACTGTAGGGAATCCAGGAGGCAACTGATCAATGATTCTCTCTCATCATTGATGTTTCTACCTCTCTCCCTCTTCCTGTCTGAAATCAATAAAAATATATTTTAAAAAACTTAATTTTTTTCTTAAAATTCCAATTGCTGAGATTGTTTCCTTAGAACTTAGAGCCAAATTAAAAAGTGTCTCCCAATTTTTTTTACTATCAAAGAAAATATTAAATGGCTCTGCTACTTTAAATGTAATAATAGATCTGAGCTTTACCTGGTTACATTCTCTAAAAACAAAATTTGGGGCAGCTGTATAAACTCAACGATAAGTACATTTTCTTCCTGTTAGGGATTTGACAAGAGACAGATTCTGAGCCGTCCTGCATTAAATTATAGCAGGCTGGAGGGCAGGAGCAAGGGGTAAGAGGGGATCTGGTACAGAGCCTCAGGCCCACTCCAGCAGAAGACTGCTCACATTCCTGACTGGATGTTGAAACAGTGAATCAGCTTCCAGGTGGTGATCTAAGATATAATAAACAGCCGATCAGCAGGCAGCACTGCACCCTGCTTATGCGTGAACTTTCCAGTTTGGGGACCACAACAGTACCGAGGCAGGAACTATTTCTTCCTTAGGAACTAGCACCTCTCCTAGAACTTCCCTCTCCTTCCCTTTCCTGCCCCCCTATCTATGTCCAGTGTAAATTCTTTCAAACAACGTAAGTTTTCTTCCTGGAACCCATTGTATAAAGGAGCCCTGTCAGCCCGGCTGGTGTGGCTCAGTGGCTGAGCGTCGACCTATGAACAAGGAGGTCAAGGTTCTATTCCTGGTCAGGGCACATGCAAGGGCACATGGAGTTGAGGCTCGATCTTCAGTGTGGGGCGTGCAGAAGGCAGCCGATCAGTGATTCTCTCTCATCATTGATGTTTCTATCTCTTTCTCCCTCTTCCTTTCTTTCTGAAATAAAAGAAAAAAGAGCCCTGTCAGCTTCAGGACAGTGGACATGTTTGTGTTTTCCATCCAGGCCTGCAGCTGGAGTTCAGACTGCGTGTCCAGGATCTGGCCTTTCTCTGCTAGCACACGACTCCATAAACCTTCTCTTCCAGAAAAGTTTTTGGCTGCAAAAGGTTTTTGTTTAACGTATCAAATAACTTACAAATAGCATCTCTGTCTTCTCACCTCCAAATTCGGGGTGCTATTTTCAAGTAGCGTCTGCCTTTTTATTTGTGGGGTATCTGGGTTTCCTCCCCTTTGCTGTAAGTAAAAAACTTGATTCTCCACTTGGCATTGGCAGGTTTGCTATCCACGTGTCCAAACGCGGTAAGAAGTCCTGGTGCATTGGGGAGGCTTTAAAACCAGACAGAACTGGGAGGGTATCCAGGCCCCCTTTGGGAGCTACGGGGCTCTGGGCAAGTCCTTTAACCTCTCTGAGCCTTGGGAAAATGAGGGTGGTATCGTCCGATTGCAGGGCTATTGCCAGGACTTAGAGAGCTGATGTCCTTATACAATTCTGGGCACATATTAATGGCACTATTTCCTGATCTTTTCCTCTCAGTTTTCCAGAGCAGTTACATCTTCCCCGGGGATGGGGTTCTAAAGGCCGGTGTGAAACAGAATTGTACTAGCACAGCTAAAGTTACCTTGAGGATTGATTAGTTGCCCACAGTGAGCTAATCAGCTGTCTTTTAGATGTTACCTGAGAAATCAGTCATTTGAGACACTAGAATTACATGAGGCAGTGCATTCACATTTGGGGAGGCACAGGGGAACTGAGATTTGCTAAGGTGAGGGGGTCCTTCCCTTCCCATTCGACCTCACTCTGGGGCACGTGCTCATTAAGCAGAATGGAGGGTGCATGGCCAGCCCCATGTAAAATCTCACTCTCACCAGCATGAAGGCTGAGTGCTCACCGGGAGGAGATCACCTGAGGCCCTGCGGAAACACTGGATTCCTGTCATCTGCTCATTTCCTGCCTTTCACCTTTGGAAGAGTCAGACTTGTCTTTTCTCCCCAGGAAGCCATTGCTTTTTGGGCCTTGCAGGGAATACAAAACGAAATAAGGTTCACACATTATCCATCCACAACACCCACTAAGGATGTGCTGAGTGCCAGAGGATAGATACAAGTAACATGTTAATGAGGGTTTAAAGACCTAAGAGATCATTTACCTTGGCAATTTTCATTCAAAATTATGAGTTGCAAACATCATACCTTTGTTGGTCAATGTCCAGCAGCTTGATCAGGTAGTGGCAGTGGCTGGTGATGAGGAACTATTTATTTTTTTAAACTACATTAATACCATGCTTGCTAGAAATTTAACAACTGTATCCTTTCGACTGATTCAAAGTAACACCTTTTTAAAAAATAATATATAGATATAGATATCAGAGAGGAAGGAAGAGGGAGATAGAAACATCAGTGATGAGAGAGAATCATCGATCAGCTGCCTCCTGCATACAACCCCTTCCCCCTCCTCCCCCGACTGGAGATCGAGCCTTCAACCCGGGCATGTGCCCTGACCTGGAATAGAACCATGAACTCCTGGTTCATACATAGGTTGACGCTCAACCACTGAGCTACGCTGGCCGGGCCCAAGTAACACCTTTTTAAGGTGTGGTTTCTGTAGAAGGAACCATGCAAAATAATATGTTTGCTTCTTCTCCTCCAGTTTAGTCAAGATGCCAACTTGAAAAACAAGCTCAAAGTGCAAGCTTTAATTTATCCAGTCCTCCAAGCTTTGGATTTTAACACACCCTCCTATCAGCAAAATGTGAACACCCCAATCCTGCCCCGTTATGTCATGGTGAAGTACTGGGTGGATTACTTCAAAGGCAACTATGACTTTGTCCAGGCCATGATAGTGAACAATCACACTTCACTCGATGTGGAAGAGGCTGCTCCCCTCAGGGCCCGCCTAAACTGGATGTCCCTCTTGCCCAAATCCATCACCAAGAACTACCAGCCTGTTGTGCAGGCCACCGGCAACACCAGGATTGTCCAGGAGATCCCTCAGCTGCTGGATGCCCGTGCTGCCCCACTCATCGCTGACCAGGAGGTCCTGCAGCACCTCCCCAAGACCTACATCCTGACCTGTGAGCACGATGTGCTGAGAGACGATGGGATCATGTATGCAAAGCGCTTGGAGAGTGCAGGCGTGGAGGTGACCCTCGACCACTTCGAGGATGGCTTCCACGGGTGCATGATTTTCACCAGCTGGCCCACCAACTTCTCCGTGGGCATCCGGACTAGGAATAGCTACATTAAGTGGCTGGATAAAAACCTGTGAAGGAGTAGAGTTTCTAGAATGCTTGTGCCCTTCTTGACCACCTGCACCTGCTTTGGAAAGACGTGTACTTTTTAGTCGACTCATTTCCCCCTCTTACCTGTGAGTTATGGAATCTCTGTCCCCTGCTTTATGTTAATTTAATTTTCAAAGCTGCGTTTGACTAACGGAAGTGCAAGAACATCTAAATCTGGTTCTCCAGGTGGGCCGGTCTCTCTGTTCTTGTTTTAGCCAAACTGCTGCGAGTACCCATCACTGCGGAGAGCAGGACTAGGAGCTGGAAATAGCTGTGGGTCCTGCCTTCATCAAGAAGTTCTTAGAAGAAATAGCTCCACCTCTGGAGGAGACAGTCACCTTTAATGAGTTCAGGAAGGATGGGCTCTTCTTCAGTGTGCTAGAGTTTACTTTGAGGTCAGAGCACTATTAAATGCGTGTCCTGGAAGGTCAGCGCTGGGTACCAAGTGCCCTCTGTCCTTTGTGGATGGATGGTTTATTTCCTATGGGAATTTCGGCACAGGTGTTCTAGCAAGGACAAGTTTCTCAAATGACGTTCTTCCTTTAGAGTGTTAATTTTATGAGATAGCTATAAGTCCAGTTGGATTATGATGATACTTGAATGTTACTTTCTACCACTATTATTAGAAAATATAAGGCTGCATGCATTAGATGTCTATACATTGTTGGGTTGTTTTTTTTGTTATGCCATCTCCTAGGGGGAGAACTTTTGGGACCAAATTTATTTAAATTTAGAATAAATTTTCCATTGTAGAACAAGTAAAAACAAATGAACCAACCTATTGTTTTCATAATGAATACTTCTGACATAAATTACCAAGAGTGGTGCGTATATATTTGGAATAGTCAGAAAAAAGGATAGGTTTAATAATAGTTAAAATTAGGAAAAACATTGTGGAGGGTCTAGCTTATTCTTGAAAACTCAACCCTTTCACTCTCATAGCTTTAAAATGGGGCTATTTTGGTATATATATATATAATGTATTGTTTATTTTTTTAAGTTATTTAATGTTCATATATGTAGCTAGACTCAAGATTTTTCAGAATAAAGTTGATAATGAGTATTAAAAATAATATTTTTAAAAAGCTACCTGAGAATTATATCCACATGTTAATTTATGGAAAAAGGTAAAATAGCTATTCATTCTACTATACATTAGGCCTAAGTATTTTGATGTTCACATGCATATACAAATTAAGATAATTAGAAACTACGACTCCACCTAGTAAAGTCATCTAAGTTGATAGTTGATAGCTTAGGCAAGACACACACTGCTCATTTCTGCTCTCAATGGTCAAAGGAACACTAGCTCCTCTTCTTCTGGGTGAAGGGCAGACGTTGGCACCTGGTTCCTACACTCTCATCTCCTTCCATCAGGTCTGGAAGTTCCAATAACCTGAGTTTAACTTGATGTAAAGCCTTCACTGCCAGTGGGAACATCTTGGCATCACAGGGAACTCCAATTCGGATGTGAGTTGAGTACCTCTGCTCTCTTTCCTGCCACACGCATGTCTCCCCCAATCCCTGCCTCTTTCAGGGACTGCGGAGAGCAGACGTCTAGCCAAGTAATGATACAATTTAATCATGTATCATTAGGGGGGAGGAAGTAGAACCTTTTGCTCATTTGAAAGATGGGTATTTCCCACTTCTGGCAATGAAATAAATGAAAATTTGCAGTTATTTTTTTATTTGTTGTACAAAACAAGTAAATGCAACAGTGTGTGTAAAATAATAGTCATACCAATTAGTGTGCTAATGTACTCAGGCAAGTCACTCACTGCCTCTGGGCCTCTTTTCTCTTTCCTCTAAAATCAGAGAATTGATTACTTGACCTATGAGGTTTCTTCCAACTATAAATTCCAACCACTTTTGTAAGGCTGGCAAACTGTGTGTATTGACCTCTTCTTCTACCATGTTTTCTTGTAGGTCATTTATTCCATATACACAGACACATACTTCATCAAAGGTATTTTTTCTTAAAAATTAGGATTTTAGTTCTTACTCTCTTACAGCCACCCTCTTTGTTTAATATTATGTTTTGTGGGTGTTTTTTTTTTTTATAACCTTTGAGGTTATCTACCTCTAATAAAGCAAAGAAAATATAATATATGCACAGAATTCCTTAAAATGGTATCTCCTCCCCCTAGGATTATAAGCCAAATCCAGTAGTAATTATAGACAGCAGATGACTCCAGATTTCTAAAGGGATCTCTCAGATGAAAAGGGCATGAAAGAAAAAGGGGTCAAGCACTCTTTCTGATGAAATACTTGAGTTTCATTTAAGCTTTTATATGTGTGATTTGTCTAATGACTTGCACTGTGTCTCGCCTCAGACCTCAAAATTCTCCTTGTAATAATAATAGTTGTGAGTCAGGATACACAAAACCACTAGATCCAAGAGAGGCTATGAAGCAACCAAAAATCCAAGTGCTAAGAACTCCTTTGGGAAGCCTACAGAGTTTATGTTGAAGGTATTTTGGTTTGGGGTGAGTTTATTTTCTTTTAGCTTTTGTTCTTTTTTCTTTTTTTAAGTTTATGCTCTGCAGATTGGTATACACACACACACACACACACACACACACACACTAGAGGCTTGGTGCACAAAATTTGTGCACTGGGGCAGGGGTCCCTCAGCCCGGCCAGTGCCCTCTTGCAGTCCGGGAGCCCTTGGGGGATGTCTGACTGATGGCTTAGGCCCACTCCCTGTCAGTTGGATATCCTTAGTGCTGCCCTAGAGGCAGCAGAGGCTCCTGCCACCGCCTCTGTGCTCACCAGCCGTGAGCACAACTCAGGGCTTCTGGCTGAGCAGCGCTCCCCCTGTGGGAATGCACTGACCACCAGGGGACAGCTCCTGTGTTGAGCGTCTGCCCCCTGGTGGCCAGTGTGCATTATAACAACTTGTGCCGTTCAGTTGATTTGCATATTAGCCTTTCAATATATAGGATATTTTCAATGCTATGGCTTTGTTTTGTTTTCCTATTTTATGAAAAAGTTGATAACTTTTTTGTAAATCATTGTTGTTTGTGAAATATGATATAAATATATGAAGAAAAAAGTCTTGAAGTACAGAAAAATATAGTGAAGTGTTAATTAGTCTTCATGTTTTATCATTGATTTGTGAAGAATTTAAGACTATTATATAATTATCTCGGTGGATAAATATTTTATGCATGACCTTTTAACCTTTGACTTTTTGCTTATTTCCAACTGCAAAAGGGAAAGGCAGATTTTATGAAGGATTTTAGCAGCACATCTATTTTATAAGATGAAAATCCAGTATGGAGGTAAGAAAGTGTATGTTTGTTTTGACTCATGTTTGGAAATAAAATGGCTCCATTTGGTAGTGCGCTCCTTGTCTCATTTTCTGGTTCCCAGCTCTGTCTTTCTCTCTGTATCTCAGATTCCTAACCACAGTTCTGCCCAAATCTTCTGCCCATTGGAGTCCTCCAGCTGCCTTTCAAGATCGGTGGCTCATTGGTCTCCTTGATGACATTCATTTTATGTCTGGATACAGTATGTACTGCTCATATCAGGGAAACCTGTCAAAATATAGTTTTTAAAGAAGTTATTTAGAGACCAGAGGGTGATGCCGTAAGGAGGGGAGTACTCCACCCAAGAAAGATGGCATCTGCAGTGTGGGAGAGAGACTCAGCACAGGGATCCTGATGGCTGACCCTTCAGCTCTCTCCCCAGATCCACAAACCACAGTCTCTCCTCACAGGACTCTAGTCCACTCTGCCCTCCATCCACCAGAGCCCAGGTTGTCTTGGAAACCTGTACAAAGGATACTTAAGCCAGACTTGAGGTGTTAGAGAAGGCAACATCTCAATCCAGGGTGGGGTAAACATATTTCCATCATGGCTCATTCAAAGAAGAGGACCAATGATGGAAATATTACTTATCCTCCTGGTGTCAAGGAAATCTCAGATAAAATATCTAAAGAGGAGATGATGAGACGGTTAAAGATGTTTGTGAAAATGTTCGTGGATATGGACCAGGACTCTGAAAAAGAAAAGGAGCTTTACTTAAACCTGACTACATCTTGCTTCAGACTTTTTCCTCAAGCATCCTGTTAAAGGTGTTCACCTACTGATAGCCTGTTGCCTTGCTGATATTTTCAGAATTTAAGCTCCCGAAGCTCCTTACACATCCCCTGATAAATGAAAGGATATATTCATGTTTATAACAAGGCAGTTGAAGGCATTAGAGGATACAAATTCAACAGGTATTTTTTATTGAGAACATTGCTTGGGTCAAGTCATATAACATGCCTTGAGTTGAAAGACAACAATGAAATTTTACACAATTATACAGAACAGTATTTTCCATTACAAATAATAGCCACAATCAGAAAGTTCATATGCACTTGGTAGACCTCATGAATTCTAAAATTTGTAAGGTGATATAGCATCGCAGGAGCTTTTGCCCATAGAATTTAAACAAGCAAGCATATGATTTGGCAAAGATGTTACTGAAGAGGACAGCTCAAGCTATTGAACCATATATTACCAATTAAAAAAAACCTCCCTTAGGGTTTTTTTATTATTGACTAAAGGCATGAAATTCATGCACTCGGGGTGGGGGGGCTCAGCCTGGCCTGCGCCCTCTCACAGTCTGGGAGCCCTCGGTGGATGCCCGACTGATGGCTTAGGCCTGCTCCCCATGGAGTAGGCCTGAGCCATCAGTCAGACATCCTTAGTGCTGCCATGGAGGCAGGAGAGGCTCCTGCATTGAGTGTCAGCCCCCCTGGTAGTCAGTGCATGTCATAGTGACCAGTCATTCTGCTGTTTGGTCAAATTGCATATTAGCCTTTTATTATATAGGACTAGTGGCCCGGTGCACAAAATTTGTGCACTCATGGGGGGAGTCCCCCAACCTGGCCTGTGCCCTGTCACAGTGCAGGAGCCCTGTGATCCATTGCCCCAAAGAGGTAGGCCTCTACGAGCCTCATGTCCCTGGAGCCGGGGGCAGGGAGGTGAGCCTCACACAAATTCCCGACGCTACAAGTCCCCGTCCACCCACTCCTGCTACACATGCAGCCTCCGGCTGATTGGTCGTTATGCATGAGGGTGTCACAACCATTTGCATATTAGCTCTTTATTATATAGATTGTATTATAGATGTACCCCATTCTCCACCTTTACTGCCCTCCTCCCAGACCCTACCCCACTCCAGGCCTTCACCACACTATTGTCTGTGTCCATTCATGTATTAACCAGTTTTTAGAATCAGGTTCTGATGCTTGGGAAAACATCTGTCAGCAATTTGTGAGAGCATGTCTTTGACTTGATTTTGATGCTCTATAATATTGATGTCATTTGCTGCTCTCAGTTTTATGCCAGGTTGAATTTAAATTAAAGAGCAATAATAATGAGGAGCAAGTTGTTAAACTACTAGCAAAACTGTTTGGGTCAAAGGATTCAGAATTTGGCTTCCCCAAACAAACCACTTTGGCAGTATTACTTAGGTAGGGTTAGTGACATTCATGTACCAATGTACCGGGAATGTGTGAAATTTGCTTGCTGCTGTCTCATGAACCATCCTGATTTAACAAAGGACTTAACAGAGTCTCCTAAAATGAGGTCACATGACCCTGAGAAAGCTATTAGGTATGATGTTATTGTGTCTGTAGTTGCAGCTGCTAAAGAAGGACATTCTGGCTGATGATCACTTACTTAATTTTGTGAGATAGAGAACTTTAGACAAACAGTAGAGAGTGTGCAAAGAAGCCATGATGAGACTTGTCCAAATTTATAAGAAATACACTTTACAATCAGCAGCTGGAAAAGATGCTGCAAAACAGATTTCATGGATCAAAGGCAAATTGCTACATATATATTGTCAAAATAGTATTGATGACTGATTACTTGTTGTATGGATCTTTGCTTAATACATGGTTCCCCATAATTTGGAAACTATGGAATGGATGAAGTACTTCTATTACTTGTATGCCACACTGGATTTAAATGCTGTGGAGTGTGTTTCAGATGTCAAACTGTTCTTTCCATCTTTTGTAGTATTCTGGAGTTTATGAGGATTTTATGGGGGCGGGGGAAGTAACTATTTTTAAATGTTAATGTATGTAATGTAAACATTGTTTAAATGGTCACGCAATAAAATATACAGCTATTTTTTTTCAGAAAGTAAATAAGAAAAGGTTATTTAAATATTTCCAAGAAAATTTTAATAATTCAAAGTAATTTCAACCAAATTTTAAAGCAAAAAATGGTTTTGATAAAATGAATAAAGTGAAGATTTTCTTTTTATCCTTCCACAATTCAAGTGCTTTCTGCATTTTTCTTAATAGATATTGAGGTTTTTCCTTTGTTAAATAAACTGTGGCAAACTGCCCTAAAAGAATGATCTATATAACACATCCCACAATTATTCTATAGAAGTCAAATTAATAGTTTGAGAAATTTTTTAAAACATATTTTTATTGATTTCGGAGAGGCAGGGAGAGGGAGAGAGAGAAAGAAACATCAGTGATGAGAGGGAATCATTGATCGGCTGCGTCTGGCATGACCCCATACTGGGAATTGAGCCAGTAACCCGGGCATGTGTCCTGACAGAGAATCGAGTGACCACCTGGTTCGTAGATCAAAGCTCAACCACTGCACCATAGCGGCCTGGCAGGAGTTTGAGAAATTTTAAGTAGTGAAAGCAATTCTACTACTTGTAGAATGTTGTCTTCCCTTCTTTCTGTTTTCATTTTTTTAATGGGAAATCAAATTATATATTTTTTATTCTGGTTAAATTCATGAAGTAAAGAAATAATAAATACTTATTTGCTTGATCACAGATTAAAGTTATTTTAAATATTTTACTTTAAGATAAATGATTCACTAAGCTAAGTAGCATGCCCCTCCTGACTTCATTTCCACCATGCCTGTAGACTGAAGTTACTGCCTTCTAGACAAAGCCAGTGCCTCAATTGGTGTCCTTAATCCAATTCATTAACATCTCACTCAAGGACTTGCTGAAGTACCTCCCCTCTCTCCTGCATCTTTAACTCTCACTCTACTCATTCCTTCTTAGCTCTATAAATATAGTCAAATCTGTCCAGAAGAAACTCCCCTTTGACCCCTTTATCTCCATTTTATTCTCCTTCCTCTCCAAACACAGATTATCTATTGCTGAGTAAACATATTCTGAAATCCCTAAGTTAAAACAATAGCCATTTGTTACTATATGATTCTGGGTTGACTGGGCTGAGCTTGGTGGATCATCTGCTGAATGAAGTGTTGACCTGGGGTCCAATCCTCAGTGCGCGGGGCTGGAACATCCACGATGGCTCAC